ATCCGTAATTAATTTACCCCTGGTATTGGCATCTCGAAAAATTAAAAATAGCCTAATAAATTTTAAAGGAAATATATTTTATATGGGAGTTTAAATTGACGCGAGAAGTGTGTGGAAGTTATCAAGTTGATTTATCAAACTTGTAAACTTAGTAAAGTCATCAAACAAATTAACGAATGATCTTTATTAGAGTAATGAGTGAAATGATTAGATTTCCATCGGATGGTTGATTTAAGTGATAGTAAATCTTGATTTGCATAAATGTTAAGCGAAGGGTTGTATTATAAATGTATCGGTTACCAATTCGATTCAATTGCGCACTTAATAAGGCAGATATAACATGCACACGACAAACTTGCACTAAGATGGAAAGTTTATAAAAAGATAGATGTAACTCTAGAAGTATCAGTTAAATTCTGTGAAACACAAAGACAAATATGGCAACTCTCTCCTTTCGTTGGATCATAATTAGACAGTATTTTCACTAATGTCATAGCTCACAGGATGCTGTGTTCACTCTATCGAAAAATTCGGTTTTTCGCGATTTTGAAGAAAAATTATAGATTTCGTGACCAGTCGTTTCACAGCCGGTAGGCTGGTACAATGGAGAACAATAGTACCGACGCCAATGGTGGGTTTTTCTTTCAACCTATCCATTCTTCTTACTTAGCAAGCTGCTTCCATGGTCTGCATTAAATCAACTAAATCTCTACGAAACCGTAACAAAATAACTAAAGAAACAAAACAAATTATGAAAAGAATTTTCGGTCCAATTATGAAATTCACGGTTGGTTGTTGGATATATGAAATAGGTAGGCTATTGGTATGCAAATGAGCTGCGCTAATCGAGTGTGCGCTGTATATTGTATTATTATAAAACCAAATGCGATTCGAGTTTGGTCTAGATAGCTGCATTTCGCGCTAGACTGCTAGTGTCTCGTCGAAAAGTGTGAAATTAACGACGACAAACCTATCCAAGCAGGCTAAACATTTTAGGCAAAAGGCACAAAATTAAGAGATTCGATGGAAATAGTGCACGACCAAGAGAACGCTCATATCGAGCTAAGGACAGTTGGCTTAGCTTCGAACGATGAGGAGCAACAACAAGCCCAACAACAATTACAACAACCTAACCAACATCAAAATAGTCAAGCAATCGGACACGACGAAAACGGTGACCAACAGGCCAATGGTAACAAGAAAAAGGGCAGTAGGACTAGGGGTAAGCATATGGGTGGAACATGTTAAATCAACCATAGCTATACTTATTCTGAATAGATATATACATGTGTTAAAATTCTCAACCCTATAACGTTAATATTTAATATCTACAACGAAATTAACGAATTTTATACAATAATGTAAGAAATGATATATATTTACCTCATATTATAATGCACAAAACTCCTCCTAATAAACTAAATATAATAAGATTCTTGTTTAAAGTTGCTAGCAATCCGGCGCATTATTTTAAGCGTTGAAAAATATTAATATGTCGTTGAACATATGGATTTCACCCGGCGTCCACAATGCACAAAGAAGATGACGAGGCTTTCATTTCATCCTAGCGATCAAAATTGGTTCGAAAACATTATCATTATCAATTCACCTGGTAGATTAGGCCTAGGCCTATCTGACGAAATACAGTACAATTGCTACTAATTGTACTAACTATCGGTCTCGAACTAAAACCATTCCATGGACCTAAATAACTTGTATATAAGGCCCGTGTTATGGTTAAATGAAACAGCAATTCGATGGTATTATACGAAGTTTTCTTTAGGCGTATTATATTAGGCCTATACTTAAATACTCAGATGACTCAAAAGCTGTATTTTAAAATTGAAAGATTCTATCTTTACTACTGAAATGCGTATTATCTCGTAGGCCTAATTGTAAAAAAGAATGTATAGGCCTACTAAATTAGAATAAAATATGAAATGATTGCTTTATATATATATATATATATATATATATAATGTATATAT